GTTTGGTCTAGCCCTTTAACTGAAGATCATTCATTTAAATGTAAGTTAAAAGTGTACATAAATCTGAGTCAGCAGTAAACGCCATTTTGTGGTCTGCACGTTGACTAAATGGTATTTACATTCTTGTTTAAAAGATTTCCATATCGTTTAAAAAAATATTTTTAAACGATAAATGCCATATAGTCTACTTTCAGACCACCAAAGCCTGCAGCTGATTACTATGTTTGTAAATATTTTTAATGAATAAAGAATGTAGGTTAGTATATAAATAATATTGGCCCTATCTAGTGTTGTTAAACGGCTCGTTTTGAGCCGATTTTTAAAAACGGCTAACTCAGTATTTCACCTAGAATAATATTACGCAAGCCTGAAGATTTTGTTTGTAGAAGGAATATAGGTTTGGACATCTATACGCGAAATCTCGAGGCTTAGGCAATATTTTTCTGGCTAAAATATCTAGTTAGCCGTTTTTAAAAATGCCCTATCTAATAAAAAATATATTAAATTTATTGTCCTACAGATTCGACTAGAATTTTTTCTCGAAGATTGGAGTACGTTCTGACATAAAAATTAGAGAAATTATATATTTTTTTTCTAGAAAAAACGGGTAAATTATTAGCTCTCTTTTTGATTTATTTTTCTTTAAGTGTATGGTGGCATTATTTTTATTTTTTTTGCTCGTTTTTTTTGTTTTGTAACTCGAACCAGGACACACCCTAAGTCTTTATTTGAAAAATAATCAGCTAATATCTCACAAAAAGCATTAAAAAAATAATTTAAATTTTTTGATAGAGTCCGGCCGAGTATATATCTGAATTCTTCCTACATATAAATCTAAGATAACGGTCCGACGAGTCTGAAAGATTACCCGGCTGTATTCGATCTCTAAATATTCACTTTGAATAAAATATCCGAATAAAATTCCAATTTATCTTTATGATATTATATATATTATAAATTATGACAAAATAAGATTCTGATGAAATTCGATATTTATAATGCTTAAAGTTTTGTAAAACATATAATTTTTTTAAATATGGAATCTTTGGGTTATGTTAAACCCTCAAAATGAGGTTGGGGAATATATTTTCAATCATAGACATGTTAAAGCAAAAAAAATAAAAAATTATAACGGCGCTAAGCGAGATGAAAAATAATTTTTTTTGTTATATACTTTTTATTCAATTCAAAATGATCATTTTTTTGTGTTTGATAATAAAATAAAATGAGAACGGTGAAATGTTTTTTTAATCCTTTATAAATTCATAGATATAAAAAGGTGAGTTCAGGTTCGATGAACTATAAAATATAGTTATATAATTTGTCAATCGAATCGCGAAATGAATTTATAAAAATTTTTTAAAAATCAAAATATTTTAATCTACGTAAAATAAAAGTTTTATGGGATGGACACAAATAGACTTTTCGATTCGCAATTTTCATATCGAATGAGAATAATATAACAAGCATTATTCGTTCAAATTATAAATATATTCGTATTATAATTTATATCTGCCAAAATTGATTCAGTTCGACCACCTTTTTATGGATTGTAGAATAGTTTAAACTTGCCTGGGAAACATTCATTACTCATGTGATTAATTATTTATTTTATTAAGGTATAAGAAAAATCGAGCACGAAAATTAAATATCTAATATAGCGAGCCTAAGAAGGCCAATAATGAATATTAATAAAATCAAATTTGATCTATATAGTATATGTTGTACATGGTTATGCGATTATGCAAATTAAGCATTCTTAACTTAAATTTATTTAAGAATTATAGAATAACTTACAATTACAACATCATTAATAAAATTTAATTTAATCCTCATTTTTTAAATCTATCGAATGTTAGATTAAAAGATTTCTAATCGAATTCAATATCTTATTATGTCAATTCTTTGGAGACCTAGACAAAGACATGGAATTAGAATATGCGATATTATATAACCGGTGTACTTACTCTAATTTGAACTCTCTTAGGAATCAATAATTTTCTAATATCGCTTAATTTACACAAATACTTTAAACTCAGATAATCCAAAAAAGTGTTCTTATTTTTTTTTTAAATAATTTAAAAAATTTTTTTTGTAAAGTTTCAAATTAAAAAAATAAAAAATAAAATTAATCACGTTATATTTGGTTAAATTAAATGAAGATTCATTTATAATATTAAATACTCTATAAAATTTTATACCTTAATTTAATATTTTTTATAACTCTTATTTCTAAGTCTTTCTTTTCGTGTCGTCCCTCCTAAAGCAATCAAAATTTTTTTTTACGATTTTTATTAGTATTTAATATTTATATATTTTGGTAAAAGTATTTTAATCTTTTTATTATTTTATAACATATTTTTTTGTATAAAATAAAATAATAAATAAGGGAAGATTTCAATAAATTTAATTTTTTTTTTATAACTTAATTTTATTTTAAAGCTTTAAATGCTATTAAAAAATAATTGTGTAGAGTAAAGAGATCCATAAATTGGTTCGTTTCATAGAGATTGATTTGTGGTTACTGACACTATTCTTAAGATTCTTAATAATAATATACCAGACCAGATATCTGTGAACCTGTGAAATCAAAACACAAAAAGCGAGAAGAAATTATATACTTATGAACTATAAAAAATGGTAGAGTATATATTTTGATTAAAATATAGAATACATGAGCCTTAATTAATGTGTAAACATTGTTATGAATTTACCCTTTATTAATATTTTTTTTACCTTAAAAAAGCAAAAGTAATAATAAAATTTATATATAAATTTTCAAATGCTATTACCTCATAAATAATTGTTGCAAAGATCCCATTTGAAATGTTCGATATATTAATCAGATCCCCCCTTGAGTTGTTATCTTATAGGTTTTACCCACTCAATAAATTTTAATAAAACCTTCCTAATCATCTTTACTTTACTAATATATAGTTGAATATTTGAAACTTACAAATATTAAATATTTACAATTCCCGGCCCATTTATAATTTTATGGCAAGTTGGCCAACCCGTTAAATTTTTTCTTTGCTCCATTATAATTTTTGAAAAAATTTGCCCGGCACCCCCCGTTAAAATTTTACAAAAAGGGCTCCGACCTGTTAAATTATTTTTTGTAAGAATTTTCCCGCCATCACATTTTTAATGTTTATACTTTGATATCTAAATTTTTAATTGGATCATATTGTAAATAATTTGTTTAATTTTTTGTGAATTTATTTTATTATTTATAAATTTAGTATTTTAGTTAGTCAGCTCTTACATGCAATACAAAGAAATAGCATATTACAATTTACTTTCAAATAGCATTAATCAATTATTAGCTTGAAATTCAAAAAAAATAATTTTAAGACCGGGCTGGCCTACAAAAATTTTACGAAAAATTACAGATTTGTGCCATACCTGAAATTTTATGTATGAATTTTCCGGCCAAGTCTGAAAATATTTTTGTAATATTTGTCCAACCCTACCCTATGGGCTCTTTCAGACGAGAAGGTTTTGCAGATATTGAATGTATTATAATCTTCTGGTAGTATCCGTGCTGTAGAGTAACATCATTTCGGGGATTAAATATGGTCATTCGTTACTTTCTTTGTAAAGGTAACACTCTATAATTGTTCAAATCATCTGAAAAAAATCCTATTTACCTATAATGTAAGAAACAATTGACTCCACCTTTTAAGAGGATATGGAGCGAATTATTATTATTTCGACTTCTACCCTAATTTATAATTTACCTAACTAAAATTTATGGATTCATATTTTTGCAAACAAAACAAAATCAAGTTAAATGAACTTTAAAAAATATTTTACAAATCGTCTAAAAATTTATATATCTATTAATTTTATTTTTCCATAATTTTATAATTGCCTAAATGATATTGTCTATTTTATATTTTTATTACAAATACTTTTATATATTTTTTTAAACCGAGTACAACAGGTAATCTGATTTTTATCTTCAGAAAATGTTAAATATAGTGCCCTTTGGGTTGAATTTTTTTTAATATAAATTTATTAGGAATTTATTTTATAATATTTTAAATCTATTTACTGTCACATTCACAATCATATAATGCAAAAAATATTTCAAGAAAATATATTTAAAATAAAATTTTTTAAAATTAAAATTGAATATTTTAATGTGCTAGCTCTGCTAGGATGTTGGTATTTTTTTTTATTACATAACTAATATTTGCTTGATAAAATTATATTCTTTATTAATAAGGGCATATTTTTGAGTACAATTGTCATTTTTTAAAATTATGTTTATTTATATGTATAGAGTATTTGTAAAAAAATAAATTATATTATAAAATATAAGGTTCTATTACATTTCAAGTGAAAGGTCACAAATTTCAATAGAAATCAAAAATTTTTTAAAAAATATTATACCTTATCTTTGACTAAGGGCCCTTATGGGCTTAACTTTTTAATTTTATAACCCCCCCCCCCCCCCACCATTTCCCCCTTTATTAAAATATAAATAAAGATTGCTAGTGAAGTAAAAAATGTGAGATTAAATTTAAATTGCGAACGTTATAAAAAGATAAAATAATTATGAAAAAAATAGGATTCTCCCCATATAGACAAAAATTTTATTTTGATAGTTTCATAAAAGTTTTATTTTGTTGGAAGAATGTTGTTAAACTGCTCGATTTTTATTTTGTTGGAAGAAATAGTATTGTTAAACTGCACGATTTACTCTATTTTAAATTAAGATTTTCGTCAAAATTAATATTACGCAAGCCTTGAGATTTCAAATAGATGCCCAAGCCTTTCTGCCATCTATGAGCAAATCTCCAGACTTGCTTAATATTTTTTGGCTATAATATTTAGTCGTTTTTAAAAATTGAACCGTTTAACAACAGTAGAAAGAGAGATAGAATGCAAGAAAGAAAGATATTTTTAAGTTCAAATATCTTTACAAAAGTGATCAATCAGCTTCTTATGTTTTTTAAAAAAAATTGTATACACTTTTAAAATTATAATTTTAGAAAGAATTGGATCAAATAGCTTTGGATATAGCCAATAGGCAAGATGAAAGTGATATTTCTCGTCAGAAATTAGTCGAACAAAGTCGCGAATTCAAGAAAAATAGTCCAGAAGTATAACTTTATTTAATAAAAATCGAATAGTTACTTTTTAAAAATAATTTTTAAATTAATCAAAGCTGTTATCTCTATTGACTACATCAGATCTGTAAGGAATGTCGGAATTTATAGAGAAAAAAAAATTAAAATTTTTTATTTCCCTTCTAAAACCTATTTTTTTTATACGCTCAAAAATAAATTAATCGTAAAATTTTTCATAACTTTAAAAATATTCGTGTTGAAGTTGAACTTTATTTTAAGTCAGAGAGTCAAAAAAGGTCTGATAGATAAGATTAAAGCATCCTGACTAGACCTAAAAAACAGGTCCAAAGGACTCCAATCAGATATAAAAAGTATTGTTTTATGATGTTCACTTTATAAAGGTTTTACCGATTGGTGGACACTTTAACAATTAATTCAATACAAAGATATTAATATTTATTAGCAACGCTATAAATAATTTTTATAAATTAATTAATATTATGTATATTTTTTTTATTTTTATACAATTTTATTATATATATAATATTCGTATTTGATATTCACAAATGAAACTTTTTTTTAAAATATTCCATTTTATCTATAATTTATTTAAATTAATATTCAAAATAGATAAATAAATATTTTAGAAAAGAAAATTCGAATAATAAATGATTAAAACAAAAAAAACCAACATTTTGAATTGAGGCCATTTTCTGTTTTGTTTTATCCTACTCAACTTGTAATTTTCTTAGTACCAAATGAGAAAATATTTAAATTAATATCCTTTATAATTTTTTTTATTAAATGGGGATACATAATCAAATATTACAATTACGATCACCATATTAATTTTTATTATTATATTAAATATAAAAATTAGTATATATTTTTTTTTCTGGACCACAACAAATTTTATATTAGTTAATTTTTATATCTATAATAATATTCGAATTTTGTAAATGGAAATGACATGTTTTATATTTATCCCTTTTTGCTCGTGGAATATTAATAAATACTTTAGTTTGAGATTCTCCTCCATGTAAATATGTATTGTCGATTAATTATTGTATGTTATTTATTTGTAACATCTCCAATTTTCGGGCCATTACGATTAGAATCTTTATAATTTAAGGATCCTCCTGTATCCTATTTCAGATCAAACAAAAAAAACCTAAGAATTAATAATAAATAAAATATGTCTTTCTTTTTTTTTATTAAAAGTATATTTTTGCATCTCTTTATGTATGGTTCTCTTCTTATTTAATTTAATCAAAATTTATTACGTTTTTTTTATTTTTCATATATATAATATTAGCTTAGGCAAGTTTTCGATTTTGGAGATAGAAAAATGGTATTTTTAATCACGCAATTCTTGCCATCCATTTGTCACCTCTAACATGGAGAGAGATAATACAAATCAATTGCGTGGTTAAAATATGAGTGGAATACCTAAGAGAGGTATCCTCTTAATCAATATACAAGAAATTATTTAGTTTCCATCAGCGTCATGACACAATAATTACTCCCTCTCTCATTAGGTCGCGGATAATATATTTGTTTGGATGTGTTCTACGTGCTATTTTCTAAATAATTGTGATATAATTTGATACTTATCATTAGTATTCGCAACTAAGTATTTAGTTTTTAACCTTATTTAATCTTCAACCTTGATATATTTAACGAACTATCCTTAAAAGCTAATTTTGGAAGTCCACGATACCCAGCGACGATATATATCCTGTCGAACAAATATCAATTTTAAATAAAATATAATATGATAGTAGCCTAAAAAAACCATTTAAAATTTTCGGGGTCTACTTAATAGTTGTCTCACTCACTATTGGTAGTGATTGACGTGGCCCACAAGTATATATAAAGATTTAAAACAAGTATCCTAACTAATTTTAAAATATCAAAAAGGAAAAGGGGGATATCTTAAAATTTATTATCAATGGCTAAATTCAAATTTTCAAAAATATATATTTATATAAGATCTTCTTTTTTTTTAACATAAATTTTAATCTCAAAATTGAATTTTTTTTTATATCATTAAAATAAATTTTAAAGCGAATTTTTCATATTGGATTAAATAATAAATTCCTACATTTAATTTACACGTATTACTTTTAAGGAAATTAAAAAAAATTTAAATTATATGATTAAAAACTCAAAATTTTTTAAAAAAAAACCAAAAAAATTAAACAAATTTCTTATTCTTTTTTTGGACAAATTTTAAGAACTAATAATGAGGATTAGGATATGGAAAATATAATATTAAAAAATGTTTATTAAAAATAACAAATTTTTTTTTCAATTTAATTATATTATATAATGAATAATGTCATTAAAACTATGATCGAGGATGAAATTATACTTGTCTGAATTTCTAACGAAATTATAATATTTTTTAAGTCAAAATAATAATATAATGTTATTAATTTAAATAGGACCTTAATTTAAATCGAAATTAGGATTAAAATTAATTAAATTCTTTGTTATCCCCTATTTTTAAATTTTAAAAAAAGTTAATTTTTTTTTGGATAAACAACATTTTTTAAAAAAAGCAATACATATATAATTGCAAGAAAAAAATAAATTGTATTAAAAGTAAATGGTTATAACTATAAGTACTAGGCATCACCTTAAGTTCATCCATACATTTTTTTTTCATTTGATTTAACATTAAGATGATCAATCTACTTCTACTGTTTGTTTATATAAAAGAGTAGAGATAAACAGTAAATTGGCGTAATACCAAGATAATTTACTATATGGCATCGGAATTAATTGTGTAACATTTACGTTCTCATTTATAATGACTTTCCCACTTTTGATTTCAGTCTCCAGAAATTTTATATCACGTTACCAGCAGTAAGATAACAATTACATTTTTTTTTAAAGTTAGATATTTGATTACATTTTTATGCTTATTGTTTTATAACCACTATTAGTGTTGTTAAACGGCTCAATTTCTAAAAACTGTGAATCGAATATTTAATATAACCTAAGCCTGGAAATTTTGCTCATAGATGGCAAAAAGGTTTGGACATCAATTAAAGAAATCTCTAGGCTTTAATAATATTATTTTGGCTAAAATCTTAATTTAAGATCGGCGAAATCAAACTGTTTAACACTAAATACTATAATAACCATACAAATTAATATTATAATCAATTTTCGATTTTTATCACCAAAGGATTGTGATAATTATCAAAATTTTATTAAGAGAATTTCAGCTAATCATGTTCTTATACTTATACCATAAAAGTTTTATTTAATTGAATTCAATAATAAATCAAAGAAGAATAAATCATAATTTGTCTTCTTTCTATTAAATAAATTTCAAATCCGTTCTTTTCAAAAAATTTTAATATCTAAATTTTTTAGAGATGAAGAAAAAAAATAACGATATCTATCGTATTGTATTACTTCGATCGCACATTCAATGAAAGCTTTTAAATGGAATTAGTCTAATTTTACAATATTACAAAGATAAAATTATTTTTTAAAGATTAGAAAAAGTATATATAGTTTATAATAATTATAAAAAAGGCTTTAGAAAGTTAAATATTTTTAACCATATGGGCATCAATTAATCTCTTTGACCTTATCATTCAAGACAAGTATCTTCCCCTTAAAATGATAAAATGACCTTCAAAATGAGAGAATTTTAAAAACAATCGTAACTATACAAAGGGCTAATAATTAATTTATACGCCTATTTGTTCGCAGAAGTATTTAACGGTGATCATTTTTTATAGCATTATAAATCTTAAATTTAAAATCATAAAATTTTATGCTTAGACATCCATAAATTAAAATACCCCATCTTTGTTTTAGTATTTCACATTCAGTGTTGGAGATAAGATTTTATTATTGGCCCATAGTTAAATAATAAATAAAAACAACATCTTGCGGGATCGAGTTGTTAATATTACATGACATTTAAATGCATTTGATATGCTTAATACGCAATTAAACGTTCCATCCTCTGAATCAACAACGTTACATTTTCTCATTCCCATCTAATAAGAAGATTTAGAAGATGTCCTATGCGAGGAGATCATCTACAATTTTTGGGTAGATCTGTATGTAGCAAGAGACCAGCACTATATTCTCCTATACTAAAATGTTTTTTTATTTAAATGACCAAGAGAGAGAAAAAATTATGTCCAGCTTTAGATAAGGCTGTGTTATAATTTTGAGAGGTTTGACTAAAGTTAATTTTAAACCATGTTTGCGATGTTTTGCGGGCAACCACTGTATTTAGTTATGGTATATGTGGTACTTTGGTGAGTTACATTCTTAAGGTTTAAGGTGTGTATGTTGAAATGAAATTTATTTTTTTATCTGAGGGTTTAGTGTGAAGAGCGCTTGTACCATGGGCATGTGATGTAAATAATAAATTCCTTGATTTTAACACCAGTTTATCTCATGGGAATGTTATGTTGGCCAATTGTAGCGCTCCAACGTGAATTTTATAATTACTTTATTCCATGGGGATACTTCGTGACGGTCTAGAGTACATTTAAAAGGTTGGGATATTTGATAACGTTTATTTGGATTTAAGTCTCAATAGATTTATAACGGGAATTTTATTTTATTTGTTAGGCCTAATAAATTTGCAATATTTCCATTTAGGCTAAGCCCTCTCTGATCGGTTATGGAGCCAGTAGATTCTGTAATCTTCATAGCTTTTTACAATAAGTAACTGCACTATGGAAGAGCCTAATGTAAAAATATTTTTTTAGAGCTACGTATACTATAACCGAAATAATGGGATGTATTTTCTTAAGGATTTGTATTATGGAAATCCTGGGATCGATTGAACCTTTGAGTTGTCTGAGACATCTGTTGATGAAGGTTTGTAACTTTTTGGTTTGTATTTTATTTATGTTTCAGGTATCGCTGACATATAATAGGATATTGACGACTCTTGAATTCACTATTTGCAATCTAGTTTTGAATGAGATTTCTCTGGGGGTTCATAATTTAAGGCAACTTATATATGGTGTCTTAGTCTATCTTTAATTTTGTCACTAGTGTTTCCCTTGCTATCTATTTTCACGTCTAAATACATTTACTAGGTTACAATACAACTTTTAAATAATACATTGTTTTCCAAAGCTTTGTGTTAGATTATATTGAAATGGATTAATCTGTTAAATTGCTTGAGACAACTCTTGAAGGTTTATAACTTCTTGGGTTGTGTTTGTCGCTACCGGAACCTCTTCAATTGAAGCTTATGCTGATACCTTGGTTCTAGTGACTAAACCAATAGAAGAAACATTAACCGGCTCGACATTCTAACTAAGGACACATGGCATGAAACTGGCCAAGATATGAATTTCTAATATGAACATGATAATGTCGTTTACATAACTCGCCAATCAAAGACTTAACCATTGATTCGGACCTGTTAAAAGTTGTAATCGAATTTCAATAACACTACTAAGCGAAATAAGTAAGCTGCACTGAGAAACTCGAGAATCACATACAAGTATACCATCTTAAATTCCAATTTTTATTTTGTATTAAGGTGTATAATATTTGATTAAGCTTTAATTTATGAAAACTTAAATTTGTATAAATTCTCATCAAAAATTTATTATACATCTTTGACCCAGGGACATTATTTTCGTTAATTATTTGCACATATTCGAATTCTTCGCGATTATCACTATAATAATGACTTTACGATGATGGGTTGGTTTTATTAAAAATTAACAATTTTTTTTCTAAAAATTATTACGTATGAAACTTGTGTTATTTTATCCCTTTTTTTAATTTTGAAAACGAACATTGTAATAAATATAATATCCGTCCTTGATCTAGTTGCAAAGCAAACATTTATTTGATAGAAATTTAAAAGATTTTTTTAATATTTAAAAATATATATTAAATTTAGATTTTTTAGCATTAAAAAAAAAGACAAATTTAAATATTAGATAATATAATACAATATTATTTTAATTTATGTAGTTTAAATTAATTTTTTTTTAAAAACCATTATGACTATTAATTACGAATTTAATTTTTAAAATGTATTAAAATAATAAAATTCAAAATGTATTTTATTATTTTTAATATTATAGTTTGGTACTTAAATGATAATCATATTTCGATCACATTACAGATTTTAAATATTCTCGAAAAGTTTGATTTAATACTAATATTAAGACAATGAATGGCAGTATCAATTTTGAGATTTGTAGTTGGTTGTTTTATACTTTGCAGGATAGGCTGAATTTATTTTAAATTTACCCTTGAATCCTTTCCTATTATTAAATACGAATAATTTTTTTAAGGAAGAATAATCCTTTTAAAAATTGGGAGTAAATTTTTATATTATTTTTGATATTACTTATTTCAAAAAAAACAAAAAGTTAGTTATTGTAAATGATAACAGGAAATCATTGAAATTGGAATTTCATTAACTTAATTTTATTTTATATAAAAAAATAAATATATATGAGTTGTTTAATTAATTGTAATATTAGAAAAATTAATAATGAAATGAAATCTTTATAGTAAATTGTTATATTAAAAAAAATTAATTAACAACAAAAAAAATTTACTTTGTTACATAATTATTCCTTGTTTTTTTTTTAATTAAAATTTTTTATTCACTTGCTTTTTTTCGATATTGTTCAAATGTCATTATCTTCTATCTATAATTAATTTATCTTTTAAAAAATAGTCTTTTTGTTTGGAAAAGATTTAAATATTATAAATTATATGATGATGGATAAATACACTTATAATTTTATTTAAACAAATTTATCTATTAAATTTTTATTTAAATATAATTTTAAAGTTTTTAAATAAAATTGGTATATCGATTTTCATCAATAAAATAACTCATTTTTTAGAAGGTAATTATCACTAACTCTCCCAAAATCATTTTTTTATTTAAAAAAAATTATGGGGCTTAAGAATATTAATAAATTATATTTTGAAATAAATTACTTTTCATTTTTATTTTATGTAATTTTTTTAAAAAATAAATTTAAAATTCTTTAAAAGCTATCAAAAAAAATATTAACAACGAAATTCCCACAAATCGACTATAATAAAACAAACATTTAATTATTATTTTTTTAAAAATCTCATTATAAACAACACTTATAAACCAGGATGTCAAAAAATGCGTTGCACCTTTGTTCAAAAATTTTCAACAAGAAATCGATTCCTTATCCAAGAGGAGCAAAGCGGCCGAGGCCGCATTCCTATCCGTCTACAAACAAATCATTGATTTCGTAGGTAAAATATATAATTAGTATAATATAAAAAAAATTTTTAAAACAATTTAAATTAAATAGATATTGTTTTAAATATATATGCCTATCTGTCAGAACAAAAAATTCTTAAGCATTTTAGAGTAAGCAAGATTATAGTGTTCTATGATTAAGTTAATATGTCTCTATTCTTAGCCGATATCTCGCTATATCGTTAAAGTCTCTTATCTATATAAAAAGTATTTGGTTCCTCGCCATTCTAAATAAATGAAAACAATCAAAAGATATGGAAGTAGATAAATTTAGTTATTAAAATGACCTTAAAATTCGATAAATTTTAAAAAAATTAAATTGTTTCGCTTATTTTATACAAATTAATTTAATCTTTGAAATTTAAAATCGATTTCAGAAACATTGTATGTATAAAAAGGAAGTTAAGAAATTTATTTTTTTTCCCCTCTATTTTATGTAAAATTTCTATTAAATATAATGTTATTATACATAATGACTATAGTTAGGTAATTAGAAGAGAATTGGCTAATTCTTAATCTACAAGCGCATGCCGAAGAAAATCAGCTAAGCCTTGAGGCGCTATAACTTATTTATGCTTTCTTCTAAGTTGAGCTATAATCTAAAAAAAATGAAATTTTAGTCTTATGAGAAAACTAGTAGCCGTCGAAATAATATAGCAAATATCAATACTATGAGTTTTTTCCACAGGATTGCTTGTCTCGTAAAATTCAATTTTTTCCCCCAATTGAATCCTATTTTTATATCTCTAAGATCCATTAGAAAAAATAATAAATAAAACCTCAAATTGATTTTTCTATATAATACTTTTAAAAAATATATTATACCTTTTTATTTATGGTATATGTAAACATTATGATTATCATATCATCAAAAAAAATTTGTCATTCATAGAAACTATTGATCTGCTCAGTCATTAAAAAATATTGTGTATTTGATATATAAAAATAACGGATCAAATTTTAATTTTATTAATATTATCGGCCGTTATCGACTTGCTATCTATTTTTATCAGGTTGAACTCTTAAAAACTCACTCATACCAAAAATTATAGGGTAACGATTATGGCTCGGTCTACATATATCAATTTACTAAAACAACACAAAAAATTTTATATATTAAAATTCAATAATAACCATTTCGAATACACATTGTTTATAACCCGCATACGTTCACTCCTAACTAACCTATTTTTAGAGGAGGGATTTTAGACCAAATAAAACTGGCAAGATCTGGGATTAAACACAGGTGAGCCATACCCGCTACTCCAGAACAATATTTTTTTTTTGCATATAAGAATAATTTACCGTTATCTAATATTTATTTTATAAAAACACATTAAAAAATCAATAATGTCCAACGCTGATTATCATTACCAACATTTATATCGCCACCGTTCTTGATAAAATGATAAATAATTATATATATATACAAATCAAAAACCAGACCCGTCCACTCTAATCGAACAATTCGAAAAGTTACAAAAGATATCCCAAAAGATAAAGGATTTGGAAGTAGAAAATAAGCAATTAAGGGAGACCCTCTTGGATAATAACAGAGAATTGGCACAGGCAAAATATTGCGAGGAATTATGCAAGAAGTTAGAACTCAAATTGAAAGATACCGAAAAAAATATTCAAACTTTGACGGATGTATTACGAAAAAAATATTATATTTATAGTTTTTTTTATTTCTTGAAAGATAGTTTTTAATTTTTTTCTTCTTCCTATATTTATTGAGGTAAATCATATATATATTTGCATTAATGAAATAATTAAGTTATGAAAGGGGAATAATTTAATTTTGTCAACAAATTTTGTTTTTATTTTAGTATAAATAATTAACGGAAAAATTAGGGTATATAATAATTTAAAATAGAGATCTTCAAGCCGGATTCGGGCCTATTTTTTTTAAAAAAAATTGGGTTCGGGCTGGGTCGGGCCTTTTTTAAGAAAATTCGGGCCGGGTCGGGTCGGGCCTTAGAAATTTTAAATATAATCTAAATTTATCAATTTTATGTTGAATTTTTTATGTAAAATAAAAATATTAGATTTTATTTATGGAAACTAGACGCCACATAACATATATCGTTTATTTTGAGTTATTTATGAAAATTAATTAGAAAGAAAAAGATGTGACTAAAATTTGCGATAAATTCGGGCCAGGCCTGTAAATTTTTTCAAAATTAATTTCGGGCCGGAGCTTGAAAAATTAGGCCCGATGAAGATCACTAATTTAATATATAATATAAGTAACTCTCCAGATAATATCCTCTTAGCCAATCGCAGAATAATAATTAGATATATTCCATTGTGTTATGGTGGTTAAAAGGCATCCGTTAACAAAATTCAAGAAGAGATGGCTAAATCTTTCACTGATCGGGAAACTCAACTTTTAACTGAAAAAGAATCACTCAATGACACGATAGAAAGACTGAAATGCGAAATAAACAACTTGAGAGGCTCTTTCGATTCCATAAACGCTCAATTGTTCGAACTTAAGAACAAATACGACGAAGACATGTTGGCCAAGTATATAAATTATGGATTAATGTTCCTAAATTAAAATTCATGAGAGTTCACAATTCTGAGTTATATTTAAAAAATGGAAGCGCATTATATTTTAAGAGTTCGAATAGATAAAAGTCTTGATCACCCCCCCCCCCCCTCCCACCCAATATGGGCCCCTCTCCTTATTATGAGGCTTTTTGTGGTACCTAAATTTATAAAATTTTTGGCTTTCTCCCCCTCCACCTCGTCTGACCCAGTATCTATGACCTATCTAGGTTCGAACCAGAGATCGGATCATTCTATGTGGAATTAGTCAGGATTTCCTAGATCCGGAGTTATGGACGTTCAAAGTATAGGGTAGACGTGATCTTGATTTAAAGAATCACCCATTAATTGAAATTAATTGTTGAAAAAGTTACCCCTAATATTGGAAAATATATTTTTTGTAATTTCCGCGAAAAAAATTTCTTATATATATTGAACAGGCTATAATTTATGATGCTAATATTCTATTTTACTTTTATATTTAAATACGGAAAAAAATTGGGTTTTTCTGAAATCTTGAGAATAGTCAAGTTCTCTATAGATGACGCTATTTGTTTTGTTGTTGTTTTTGAATAAAAACATTAAAAAATTCTTCACAACTAGTCTGTGCCAAAAATATCAGAAAATGGTATTCGCAAACTTTTGAAACTTTATCGAAAGAAGAAATCAGTTTTTTAAATATAAAAAATAAAAACATGCCAGAAATATATTTCTAGAAAATTTCAAAAATTTTGAGTCGGCTGTTCCTTAGTAAAATATTGGGCCCCACTCTCGTTCTAGAGATCTATATGCGCCGATCCAAGTTCGAATATGAGCTGGGTTCATAATGGGATCCGATCCGACACAATTCAACAGCGGATCGAATCCATTTTTCTTTATTAGAATCAATCATTTTTAGAATTATTATCAAGAATAAAATTTAAAATAAAATTAATATTAACAAAGAAAAGTTGTTCTCATAAAGTGGTTTTAAAAATCGATCAGCTGTTAAATCGTGTCTGATCAAGTCTATCTATGAATCCAGCCTGAATCCCCGACCAAACTCATGTTGATGAGACGCGAACAGATATTTTCTTGTAAGCGTTCAGGACCTTGATTTAAAATTTATTCCTACAAAAAAATCAAATCGGTCGGACAAATTTATTTTTCGAATAGGTTCGAACCTCGAAAATATGGATATCGAGCTTTAATTGTTTATTGCTAAAAACAAACAATTAGAAATGTTAATTTATATCATTTTACGTTTTCCATTTTAAATTTGCAAATGTTATTTTGATATATTGCTTAAAGTTTGTAACAATTGCTCCATAAAATCTTGTTTATTATTCGATATGAAAATTGAACTAAATAATAAAAATCAAAACAAATTCTGTCTTGTCTAAACTAAACTTTCTTTAAAAATGAATAAATTTGCAGGAATAGTGAAATAGACCTATTAGCGAACGATATCGAAAATCTCACGCATAAAGTTGAGGCTTCCGAAATGGAAAATCGAAATTTGAAAGTGGGACAAGGAAATGGCAAAACCTTTGACGATAATGAAAGAATAGCCGAATTTAATAATGAAATCAATTCCTTGAGATCTCAAATGGATAGAGAACTGGACTTAAAGGATATCGAAGTTTCATTAATACTTTTTTTAATTAGTAAACTATTACGAATCAATTGTGATTATAAAAATAGACGATGCAATAGTAATGCACTGTTAATAAGGATGCATTTGGAATGCATTTTTTAAAAAAATTCAGATGAGATAGATATTCATGTATCTATCGATAAATTTAAATTTGTTAATCCTATTTATCAAAAAAATGTTAATATTTAAACTCAATGACATTAATATATTAGGCTGACGATTCATTCACTAAAATACATTAAAAAGTGTGCATACATTGAAGTCCCCCATTGAAATGCCTTTGAGAGTCTACTTCAGCCAATGACATTGACTACAGCTGACTTCAGCATTGACATGGATTGTCCATTTGAACTATTTCAAAAGATATTTTTTAAAATTTTTGACAAATATATTTTATCGCTTATTGATATTCTATTTATTTTTTAAACCCTATAGATAACCCGGTTGATGGGTGAAATGAAGGATTACAAGGATAATTTTATCGATCTCGAACGAGACACGGGCTCAAAAATTGCTCAACTACAAGAGGAAATTATGCTTAAGGCCAAAGCTTTAGAGATATTGGAGGAAAGATTATCTTCTATGGGAGACTACCATATTATGAAAAGAGAACTTAAGTATTTTATATAACTGATTTTTTTTAATAACTGTTTCAATCCAATTCACTAAAATCAGAAAATTTTACGCCCCATTATTCATTATTTATTGGTAAAAAATAACGAGCTTTATATATATATATATAATTCTTGTTAATAATTTCTCAATCTAAAATATCGTCAAAGAGTTTTAGCAGCTACCAATTGATTATTATTAAAATAATTTATTTTAAAAATAAATCATATATCTTCCTTGCAGACCCTGTCTAAATATCTATATTTTTTTGTTGATAATCACGTTATTGTAAAATTATATAAATTATCACGTTTTCTAAAGCATCCTTAAATCGATGGAATTTAACGAGCAACAAGTGGAATCAAATATCTCTCCAAACACAGAAAAGGAAAAATCTTTGGAAATGTTAGTCATGGAAAAAAACAAAGCCATTAAACATGAAAATGCTTCTCTAAAAATTAGCAACGCTCAGATCAATGGTTTATTATTTTTTTAAATAATATTTTTTGCAAATTAAATTAGGGAATATATTAACAAATTATTAACCAATTATTCTCTATTCGGGATCAAACCCAGTAAAAAATAAATTAGAAGCTGTTAAATCAGCTGATTTACATGATTTCCTATAACTTATTTTTGTTAGTTTGTCTGATTAAAATTAAAGGTTTGCAACAAGCTGGTTTCATCCGACAGCTTCCCCTTCTCACAATGATAAAATGGTATGTTACCCGCCCGTTGTTTACAAATAAATTTGTTAGTTGGCTTGGTTTGATTGTTATCTCATTTAAATATTTGCAAAATTTTGAAATAACAAATTGATTTTAATAAATATAAGCTTGCCCTACCACTCCGCCCATTAAATATTTTATACCTTAAGAAATTATTTACTCACCTGACCATTATTTAATTTTTTTAAGGCAGGTTAAAAATTTGCCTCCCGATCTCTAGTTCAAGGTATATAAAACTACTTATTAATGTTGTTAAAGTAACTAATTATATGTAAAAGTAACTATTTATATTTTTGTGAAAAAAATACCGGTAACTAATATTATAATTTTTGCCTCCTGTCTAAGATCAGAATTGAATAATCGATACTTCTTTATAAGATATTTCCCAAATTTAAAATGACTGTTTATTAAATATATTGTTGCACTTATTTCAAGCCCTCCTATATAACATTTTAGTCTAGGGAGGTTTACTTTTGTGAAAAAATGGACAAGCCTTTAACACCGATTTTAAAAATAGTTTATTTAGTTTAATAAAAAATTTAAGCTCAAATTTTTATAAAAAAGTAATTAATATATGGGGAAATTTTTCTTTATTTAAATAAGTATTTTTATTAAGGTTCTTTTGATCAAAATTTGTTAATCGCTAAATTTATTTATATATTAAAGAAAAATTATATTAAAATGATTTATATAAATTATTTAAGATAGTAATTTGCAATGTAATTAGCTACTTTTAATTTGATTATAATTATTTACTTTTTTGAGGATATAACTAGAAAATATAACTAGTTACTTTTAAAAATATCTTTTAGCAATACCGCTACTTATTTTTTTTTACGAGGAAAAGGTTACAATTTTGTTTCTAATATAAGAGTTAGTTTTAATAGAGAGGATAAGAAATTAAAAATCAATCTACTAATCATTATCTAAAGGAAAATATATTTATGTGAGAAAATATATTCTAACCTTTTTTTAAAAATGAAATTTAATTATTTGTAATTAAATATCCATATTACAACATATATAATTATTGAGTTTTCCCGAAATCTTATATATTTTAAAACCATCTGGATTTTAACTATAATATGATATCCTACTTCTCCGTTGTAATAAAGGAATTTATGTGGCAATATAATATGCACATTAGTATAAATTATAGGATTTTTATTTTTAGCAATTAAACAATTAAATTTTTTTGGCAATTAGTTTTGTATTTAAATTAAAATTGAGATAAAAATCTTTTTTATATTCTTAAACAAATATTTTGTATAATTAGTTATTAAATAAAAAACAAAATTCAAAAAGAGCATTATTTATTGATAATTAGTAAAAGAGATACTACTGCTCAGTTATATACTCCTTTTTATTTTTTTTAAATTAAAATTAAATTTCATGAATTGAAATTTATTTTTTTAGACTAGCTCTTTAAAATATAATATCTGTTTTATCGCGGTTCCCTTATATGTGTTTATCATATGATTTGTATGTTTTTTTCTCTCTTTTTCTTTTCGTTATTTAAAATATAAAAACGTCGATTGTATACATTTATGAAACCATATTATATTATTTTTATAATATTTATAATGTCCTTAACTATATAGTCCTGTTACAGTTATATATATTTTTATGACTTATACAAAGTGTTTATAAATTATATTATATCTATAATTATTTTTATTAATTATTTAGAGAAAATAATTCGAAGAGGTAAAAAAAAAGAAGTTGTTTATGACAATCCTATTTAATGAATTATCATAAATTTTGAAATTTTCTTGAATAGAAATCATTTACTTTAATGTTATCATTTATAAGAAGTCACGGTGTTTTTTTAAAAAAACATTTATTAGTTCAATTTTTTGTACCTTAATACGATAAAATGGTTATCACAAAGCCAATAATTTGTGATTATACCTCTTTGAAAAATAAAAACAAAAAAATACACTAGATCCTTCGACGCCGCGTCTACTTAATCATAATTCACCTCCGCCCGACATTTTTAACTTTAATTATAACAACGCAAAAATTTATGAAGATATAAACAAGTGTAGGGTCGAAAAGGTGAAACCCGAATCTCCTAAATCAAACCAAGATCATAATATATTTTTATCTAGCCATTCTACAAAACTTAGCCAGAAACAGTGCAGCTTCGAAGGCTATGTGACCCATAATAGTGTCAACAGTTTTCGCTCTTTAAGCGAACTTAATAATTTTAATTTATCGAGCCCTGTAACCCTTTCGACCAAATCGTTTCCCACGAAAGAAACAACGTCCACGCGTAACAGCTTGAGCGATCATTATTCCGGTTCGCTCAGCTGCAAAACCGAGTCTCACGATGACAAAAGATCTCAACATACTCCACACAAAACGTATCTTGATACGTCCGCTATGATGAACCCATCAAACGCCGATAACATGATACTTTATCAACAAATGGCTGCTGCTTTTTATTATCGTCAATTTTTCGAAAAATGGGACAGGAGAATGCCGCCTAACCCACCGATCGCCAACATTAATAGCATTTCCAACGATAATATTTTCAACCATACCTTCCCCGATTATTTTGGTAGAACAACTCGAGGTATCCCAAGAAACTCTAACAATAGTAGTAATATTGCCACCCCGCCGAACGGCGGTTATAATGAATCTTCAAAAGTCAGGAATATACATAGAGGAGACCTCACGGATGACTTTGTGGCCAATGGATTATTGGGTCATCGACATGAAAATTCAGAAAAATGTCACAAAAATAGTGCTCAAAGTATTACCAGTCAAAGCCAAAAAACACCGATCTCACCCATATTTTTTAAGCCCTGCAAGGCTTCTATCGCTAATTTTATACATACCATCGTTAACGATTTCGGACCAAGTATCTATAACCACGATAATTTTAATTATCAAATGTCTCATTCTGCCCCTTCCCTGATGCTTAACGTTGTTTCCTCTTCGGAGCAATCAATAAAACGTTTTCGTAACCTATTAAGTGTTAACGATGATCTCAGTTTAATAAACAATTTCAACAATCACTCGTCACTTGTGCTAAATTCGAAAATGGACCAAGATAGAGACTCAAATCCGCGCATCCATCGAAATCACAAAGGTATTACTGTAACACGCGCCTATCAAGAAAATTTATTCACCATTCCATCTCACATTCAGTCACCTCCCTCTTCTAGTCTTAACAAAAATGAAACCGGCCCTATTTTCGCTTCGTATTTCAGTAATAAGGTTGGATCCTGTGATAATGATTCAGATCTCAATTCCCACGACCAAGTAAAAATGACCAAAGAAACCACCTTCGGAGACGATGATTTCAACAAATATAAAAGGTCTTTTTTAAAAAAAACAAGTCTTTTTGGGTTGGTTGTATTAAGTCGAAAATTAAATTTAGTCCCATTAAAAATCATAGCGATTTGTTTTACGATTTAAAAAATATCAGAGTTGACTAATGGGTTAATAATTAATTTATTTTTAAATACAGAAATAATTAAATTTTACATTTTGATACATCATTTTATGTTATTTTTGTTACATAGCGGAGACCCCAAAATAGAATTAGTTGATTACGAACAAGACGAAAGTCGGAATAGCTTTTCTTGCTCTTTTACATGCAATAATAATCATAACGATAATTTGAACGACGCCAAAAGCGATTCCAAATTACTTTGTTCACAATCAAAATCCTTAATTAATGATATTCCATTAGCTCCAAATCAAACCCAGAATAAATGCAAAGAAGATTGCACCAACGTTACAAATATGAGTAGACTACTACCTAATACGGAAGAAATCGCCAAAAAGGTAAGGGAGGCTCTCTGTTTTAATCAAATCGGACAAAGAGTTTTCGCGAAATACATTTTGGGTAATTTTATTTTATTTTCCTACTTTTATGACTTGTTTTTAATTAATATTAAATTTATCAGATACCTGCATTTCCTGCGCGTCATAATTTTTTTTAGGAAATTATCGAAATAATCTAAAAATAATATAATAAAATTTACAAATGAACAGGGCCGATTATAAAAAAATTTATTTAAAAAATAATACTCCTTTAATCAGTTGTAAAATCATATAATGCAGCTTTTTTATTAATTTATTTCATATTCTCAACTTCCCTAAACCAATTTTTTCAAAATTATTTTAAAATATCGGGATTTTGGAAATTCCATGCTGTTGATAATAAAAAAAATTTTAATGTAGGCCGGGCCTAAAATTTTGACCGGTGCAAGTTTATGATATTAATTATATTACACAATATATTAGCCTATTTTAAAATTTAACAAAAAGTGTCAAACTTTATTTGGAATGTCCGTTAAATTTACAATTTATTCATATGATTAGGAATATCAATCTACTTTATTTAATTTTAATTCGTGTATTCAAAAAAATGATATAATGATTTTTATACTAAATTTGAATAAGGGAAAATGTATATTATATTAAAAAAATTTTTAGGCTTGTCACAAGGTACCGTGAGCGAATTGTTGTCGAAACCTAAACCATGGGAAAGGCTTTCCGGTAAAGGAAGAGAGTCATACAGAAAAATGCACGCCTGGGTTAGTGATCAGACAGCTATACTCGCTCTTAAATCATTGGCACCAAAGAGAGGTATATATATAAAATGATTATATATCATCATGTTGACTATGAATTAATCGGTGATCGTCCACTAAGATTTTATCGTTAGTTTTATTTTATAGCTGCGAACATATTTCTTCGATAGTTAAATGAGCTAGCTTGTTGACCTTGAGTATATATTTAATTATGTTCCCGTACTACAATGATAGCGTTCACACTGATATATTTTTTATAAATTATAATTTACTAAGAACCTAAATGATTTGTGCCTTATATTCGATTATTATTATTTAATAAATTAAATATTTAAAAAAAATACAAAACTTCAGCCAAAGAAATTACGAATAATCCTTCCAACTTGAAAAAGGAAGACAAGCAAACAAAAGAAAAAATAGCTGATATACTTTCGAAGGCTCAAAAAGCTATGAAGACAGTCGATAATTCCCCTTTGAGCGAGGATATAAAACCCCTAAATCTTATTAATAGTGCATCTCCTAATATTTCTTATTCATCTAGCCACAATTATAATGATCAAAAAATTAATGAAACTTTAGAAAATAGAATCAAATCCGAGCTGATTTTCGATGACAATGATAGGGAAATTATGAATGAAATGCATGAACAAGATATGCCCCTGGATATGAAAGTATATACAACTTTAAACTTATGCCTATATAAGAAAAGGAATAAAATTAGAGAATAATTTATAAAAACTCATATGCCCAACTTTATTCATTACCTCTTTTTTACCAATAGATATACCAATCGATTCGCGCATCCCCGCATTCAAACACTGAAGATTTAAACATATTGTCATCGCCTTCCGACCTATCCCACAACCATCATCTTATGTACAACACAAACACTCTCAGAAAACTTTGGTTGGATTATTTTCAAACTTCATCCCCTCTGCTTTCAACGCCCAACCAAAAAATCAACGAACAGAAAAGTATTAACGATACATCAACAAATTACGATTTGGATGGAGCCACCATGATATTAAAAATGATGACTGCTTACCACTCCAAGGGCCAGAATAACGTGAACAACTTTTTGGATGGCAATCCTTTCTTTTCTACACATACTAACGGATCCGAGGATTTAGACTATGATTTCAAGGATCATCCTTTTGACAAGAAAAAAGCCATGATGGCTTTGGCAGCTTATTCTCGCCAATATTACGGGCTCGTTGAAAGGTACTACGAAAATCAGGCCAAACTTGTAACATCAAATGGTTCCGATAATACCGAATGTCCGTCTAAAGCTCATTTTGAAGAATGGGATCAAAACTATGAGCTCGCGAAACGTAAAATAGAAGAGGAAAGTTGTGAGGATGATATGGGAGGGTACAAAGAGCACTTTGTTAAAAAGATGAAAAGTTAGTCAAAGCGAATACTTTTAAAATTTTTATACACGTACTTATTTCAACATTTAATTATGATAGGAATTTTAACGCTTTCATAAATTTATTATATTATATCATGTCAAATTTGCAATTTGCTCATTTTTTATTTTTCGATTTCCAAAAATCTTATGTATACAATGTTTCAACGTTTCCCACTTTTTTAAAAAATAAATCGAATTTGTAAATAGTGCTCTAAAATTTCATAACATTTTCTTAAACTCAAATTGTTAAATTAAGCCAAATTTTATTATATTATGACCATATTTAATAAACACTAATTTTTATATAAGTTCTTAATATTCAAAAAAATCAGATCATTTCTATACCGATTCATTTTACGAAGAAATGCGATCTCCAGTTTGCTCTAGTCCATTGAATTTGACCAAAAAGAAATATGACGTATATAATTTATTTTGATCAATATTTTGTAACAATATTTAATAAATGTTGATCCATATAAACTTAATTAACGTTTTAATAATATTTATCAGAAAAATAACGTATTTCCTCCTTGCAATTTTCGCCGCGATGTCGAGGATTCGGAGCAAACCCTTACGTCTAATTATACGAATAATATTCAAAGCATATCTAACGATATTTCTCTTACCAATACAGTTAATCCGCTAAATTACATCCAGTCAATCACCAACTCTATATCATCTCCACAGGCTGCCAATTTACAAGAAACTAAAGTTTGTGTTAAAAAACTTCAAACACAGTTATCTTTCCCTCCTAAACAACCAATACGGTTAAATGGTCAAAATAACGAATTGAAAATGGATTCAAATGAAAAGAATAAAAATTTTAATCAAAAGCAACCAAATACCGATGATATAGTTAAGGGGGTCAAAGAATATTTAGCTAAATTTTCTATCAGTCAAAGAGTGTTTGGAGAGATGGTACTAGGTTTGTTCTTTATATTTTGTGTTTAATCATGTCATATCTATCTTACAATAAGATTTTGATTGTAAATTTTTTTTAAAGTAGCATCTTATATATCATAAATAGGCTCCAACCGAATACTCGTGTTTACAAAATACAGATCGAATAATAATAAAATAACTCATTATTAGGCCTAATTTTAAAATAAATGACTAAATAATTTTTTGCAACCTATAATTCGGTTTTTTTTTCTTCCAGTTATATATTAAAAGCCAGATTTATATCTCAAGTATATAATTATAAAAGGTTTATCTCAGGGTTCGGTAAGCGATTTGTTAGCCAGGCCTAAACCTTGGTCCCTTCTCACCCAAAAGGGCAAAGAACCTTTCATAAGAATGCAACTATTTCTGGAGGAACAACGTTTCAACACCACACCTCCTCCAATGACTTCTCACACATCAATGCCCTCGGATAAATTGCCAATTGATAAACATCAACACGGTACCGATACCACAGTAGACTCCATCAAAGGTAAGAAAAATGAACCTTTTAAATGTATTTTGGAAATTAAAAAATTTTTTTCTCATATCATACGGATCAAAAAGGGAATCCAAAGTAAGTATCATAATATGAAAAGTCATAGGTTGTGAAAAACCTTTAAGAAGAAAATATTTATTTTTTAAACTATATATTATTTTTACATTTAAAAAAAATATATAAAAGTTTTAATCTTTAAACAGATAATAACCACAGTGATAATATTAAAGTCGAAAGTTTAATGGATTCAAATAATAATAACGATATAATAAAAGAGTATCAAGAAATGGAACAAGATGATTCAAGTCATTCTTCCTTATCTACCCTCGCATTTTCAGAAAATAAAAGTATTAACTCTTACTTCTTACACATATACATTTAAAATGTAATTTATAGAATTTAAATATATCCTATAATTATTTATCCTCATTATATAATTTAAGTTAAAATACCTTCACAAACTCAATCTCCGTCCAACGAAGGACCCACCATCATAAAAAGGGAAATAGATGATTTTCATCAAATGAACGAAAATGTAAATAGTAATCATTGTAACGATTCAATTGCTGTCAGTAATCCCGACATAGATGATGCATCATATGGCACCGTCCCAATCAAGCCTCATAATTTAATTAAAGAGAATTATGAAACGTTAATTCCTAATAGTAACTACCATTTACCTGTTTGCAATTCGAACAACGTAAAAGGCAACTCTAAAACTTCCGTGTCATCTCTCAAGACTTCGGGTCAAAATGGTAAAACTACAACGATAACTCATAAAAGTCAACAACCCAATAACTCAAATCCGATTGCCCCCATCTTTACACCGTCTTCTTCTAATCTTCTCGAGATAACGGCCGTTTCTGGAAACTTAGATACACTAGCGTTAACCCTTAGAGTCAAGGAGATATTGGTCAATTACAATATAGGGCAGAAGGTTTTTGGCGAGTCGGTCTTAGGGCTTTCGCAGGTGAGTTCCTATATTGCTTTTAGATTATAGTAATGCATTTTGTGACAAATTTTGTTTTAAATTACTATATATCTATGTTAAATGAGTAGATTCTGTTGGTTGGAAATACTGAGCAAATAACTTTATACCATGATGTTAAGTAGTTAAATAAATCGAATGTAATGAAGGTACAAGATAGATGCACCGGATGAATCGCACCCACAAAAAATCTGGGATTATTCACATTCAACCATACAATTAGAGCACGAAGACATACAAAATAAAAGGATAATAAATGTATTTATGAGTGTTAGGATTCTAACCTTTACCTGTTATTATATTATTAATGCATATATATAATCATTATAAAACATATAATTAAGTAATATACTAATTTATAATATATGAATAATATATTACATTATATTCATATATATATTTTCTATATCAATATTATTTATATATGTAATTTAAAATTATAAATGCACATCTACCCTTCATTATTTGAGAGAAACGCCTATATCTATTCTATCATTAATTTAGCTGCCATTGTCTTGGCGTCTCGTCGCACTCCATCTGATCTGCCCTCCATCACCAGTTCCATGTTACCTGCTACCACACGTTCACATAACTAGTCTGCATGTTTTCGCAGTATGCGTTTAGGAATCCCTATTATATATGAATATAACCCATATAACCCCTTCCGATCTTGAACTATTCCATCTCTCCAGCCCTAGGTGGTTTGTTCCTTATCCATAAATGTTGACCAAGGTCAAATTCCCTAATACTGGAATGTGGATCGTGCTCCCGACTCTGTTTATCATTAAATTTATCTCATTTTCTACCTTAGGTTTAACCCAATCTAAACTAGTTCTTTTCTGACAACCGAATATAATCTTGGCTGTGGACCTACCTGTCGAACCATGTTCTCCAAGCGTATACGCTGCTACTTTCTAAGTCATTGCCTCTTGTAGGTCATTGATTAATTTTCGAGTTGCATTATACCTTCCTTTCAAGGTTCGAATGGTTCGTTCAGCCTGCCTATTTGCCTTCGGGTGGTACGGCGTTGAACGAATGGCAAATATGGTTTTTCTCACAATATCGCTAAGATTCTATAGAAATACATTGAGGGCCATTCGGTTCGGCACACCAAAAAGAGCAAATCACATAACCTCATTATAATTCCTTCGCAGATGTGCTTCTGGTCGGGTCTACCTCCATCCATTTTCAATATGAAATAATTTCTACCAACCAATATAGAGAGTCAACAGGTTCTTCGAAATCTAGATGTAGACGCTCCCATTGCTCTTTAGTAATATTCCTTGAATATAAGGGGAACTCCATGACATTTAGTCGATTTTTCTGACACCCAATACACCGCTTTATATATCGTTCGATGTCCTCATTACATTTAGTCCACCAACAACACAACAGAAAAATAGATTTCATCGAGGGATCCTTTATATAGTGTCTTCAACACTGCATTCCTTAGTTTAGTTGGGATTGTCAGCCTACTATCCCTCTCGACTATTCCTCTGTCTACCATTAATTCTTCTCGATAAGTAAAATTATAGATACTCTTCTCTCGTTCAATCAAAACCTCTCTAACCTTGTTCAATGTGGCGTGACTCGTCATAATCGAACCTTGTAACTATCAAGTTCTTGCGCAAGTTTTTCTCTGACACCTTCTTATCCTCTAAATTGATGCTACGAATCGCTAATGAACGCTTGTATCCCTATTATTATGCAACGTTAACCAAGATATTACCATTGATTTTGAAATGACCCATTGCATTTGATTTTCGGACGTATTGAAGTCTAGAAAACAGTATGATTCTATTGATAAGAAAACGAGGGCACTGCTATCGGAATAGAAAAATTCCATAATTTTATTTACTTCCGAAGATTTGTATATGGTACTTTTACGCTAGTTAATCGGTGTAACACTGCTACCTTACTATGAAAATTGGTAATGAACCGTTCATGACACGCGACAACATCAAGAAATGACGTAATGGATAAACATTCGTGAAATTAGGATTAGCCTGGATTGCTTTTCTTGGATGTACCCCAATACCCCATTCTATTTGATAAGGACACCTAAAAATGAAAATTTATATAATACTTGCAGCCTATTTAGTACTATTTTTAGGTTAGTTAGATGTTCGGCTTCGTTTCTGCCCGACATAATTACATCATCCAGATACACTTCAGTCATCTGGTAGTTCTTTAAAACATTGTTCATGAAGCTGGAAAATTGTTGGCGCGAGAGAGCCCAAAAGGCCTCCTTCGGTATCGAAAATATTCCTTATGTGTAGAAACCATATATTTTTGGAACTCTGGCTCCTCGGCCATTTGTAGAACGCGTTCTTTAAATTTATAACTGTAAATCTGTTTCCCCCAATCTATACCAGTAAGTCATCCAACATTGGAATAACATGATGATTATATAATTGATTGGGAATTAAACTAACCTTGAAATCTGCGCAAAGACGAATCTCGCCATTGTTTTTCCTGACATTTACTGTTGGGGTTGACCATGGCACCATAGGTGTCTAGGAATCGATTTGCTCCAGATCTCCGCAGCTAAAACGCAATCTAGTTTAATCGATTCGCGTAGTGAGATAGGCACTCGAAGTACTGGAAATTATTTTGGAAAGCCGTATCTATTAACTGGAGACGGACCGCCAAATTACATATCAACCCCGATTTATCATCAGAAACGATTTTGAACTGTTTATCTAACAACAGTTCTAATGAGTCTTCCATTAGTGACATCTTGTGGCTCACGGAGGGAGCATCGGTTGACATATTTTTGATACCATTGGTTTTGAATGGCCCACTGGAGTCCCATTCGTTTTGATAACCTGGTATGTTTACCTATCTCGGTAACTCAAAACAAAATGCCAAGTCCAAACAGGGATAAGTCATTCGAATTTATTATAATCACTGATAATTTATGAATTTACTTCCCAACTTGGACAACGGCTTCACCTATTGAATCCAAAGGCATATCCCCATAGGCTGATAATGAGTTGGTGGGGAAATGAATGGTTGGCCGATTTTCGACCAAATGTCAGCTATAATAGAGGTGTCTGCTCCTATATCATAGTCGAACGTGACAGTAGGCCCATTTATTTTGATTCTAATCTTTGCCCTTTTATTTGATCCACATCTTCAAAGATTATTTATCGAATCTCTTCAAGGAAAGTCTTGTTTTACTGAATTTAAATTCCGATATATGCCGGTTCTTTGGCACTTAGAGCAAATTTTATCTTCAGCTGAGCATGGATAATTTTCATGCCAGCCAGAAAAATTATTACACATACGATTATAAAACTTTCAGTTAGGCCTCATGAATATTATTATCTCTCTTATGCTCTTGTGAACTAGCTATTTTATGTTTGTCATGAAAATTATTCTTACAACCCTGCGGCCTTATTACACTATTAACTAGATCCTTCTTAGTTGTCATTTCATTCTTGCCATTTCAGTCGATGTGCCAAGTCTAACACAGTTTGAAATGTTAACGGTTTTTATTCGCAGCCAATGCCAATGAATTTTTAGCGAGAAGATCTATAAATAACCTTACAAAGTCTAATCGGCTTCCAAAAATTGTTCCATTTGGTTCAAAAATAACAAATACTTTTTAATCTGTCAAATTTAGGTACTTATTTTTTTCGAGAATGTCAATGCCCTCAGCGCTAAAACTCATGATGAACAGGTCCTTATTCCCCTGTTCCAGGGGTCTAGTTTTTTAATCTTGTTGCATCCTATAATTGAAGCCAACGCTTGATCGATCCATTTACTAGAAATTTTTCCATCTTATCTATATTTATGACCGTATTGGTCTTGGCGTGTGGCATACTTTTAATCAATTATGAACCAATTGAGTTCGCCAGTAGAATAAAATTAACTGCATGTTATTTTACGCTGACCTAAATTGAGAGCCGCCTAATTGACAATTGGTTGTGGGCATAGATCTTTTAGGTCTCGAAATAGATCTTCAGGCTAAATATCCATTGGAATATGCAAATAAAAAACTCTAACATTTCAGTTTGTGCTAGACTTGATCACAGCAACTGAAATGGGCCAGAATGAAAAGGCAACTAAGAAAGATCTTGGTATAGTGTAATAAGGTCGCAGGGTTTTAAGAATAATTTCCATGACAAGCATAAAATTAAAGCAAGGATACATACAAAATAAAAGGATAATGAATATATATAGGTGTTAGGTAGCTAACCTTTACTCGGTAATATAATTAATAATCAATATTACACATATATATGTATTATCATGAAATTATAAACATAATTTCTTAATTAATACAGTTCCGCTAATGAGAATTTTTTTTAAAAAAAAATTAAGAATACTGAAGGTTGGTTCATAAAATATCTATATTTATAAAATTCAAGGGTTCCGTTAGCGAATTACTATCCAAGCCCAAACCTTGGCATATGCTCAGTCTCAAAGGACGGGAGCCATTCATTCGTATGCATTTTTGGCTGAGCGATTCATCAAATATCGAAAAGCTAAAAACATGGAAACAAAAAAAGAAAAGTAAATATGAGGGTAATTGTAAATTTATATTTAAGTTATTTATATAATGTTACCAGCAATGTGCATCATCAGGTAATTTGTGTAGTATCTTATAAAATTGCTCTAAATTTATTCATTTTTTTACATTTTTAAATAAATTATTTTTTATAAAGTTGGAAGATGAAAAAATAATTTGTTGAGCACGTTTTTAACTTTAAAAATCTGATTTAATATTTCTGACAATCTGGTTATAAAACTTCTGAGTTATTCTTTTTATATAACTAAAATTACACAAAGATTGGTTGACAGGATAAGGCGAAAACAAAAAACAGAATAATTCAATTAAAATGAAAAATTTAGCCTAGCAGTCTATGTAAAATATTTTTGGGCCAGGTTGAAAACCTTTTTTAAAATTATTGGTAGGCTGGATCTCTAATATTTATTTTTAAATATAATCATTCAGCCTATCGTGACCACGGAAATGCCACTCTTCCTATCAATCATAGCTATAGTCACTCAAACAATCCTACATTAATAGCTAACCATTCCAGACGTTCTCAATCTCTTTCTGTACCCTATAACGATTCTTTTGAATTCAAAGAGGATCTCAACGAATACGGGAGGGAAGAAAAACAAGTGGATATAAATAATGCTGGTCAAATTTGTCTCTTTGGCACATCTTCCCCACACATCGCTCAACCCACTATCGAAACAAAACTTGATAGATCATCCATTCATGATGATGGCTTCAAAATAAATGATGAATATAGTGACAGAAATGGCTCAAATAACAAAAATGATGAATCTTACATAGATTATGACCAAGTTGGTTGTATAGAAGGAAAAAATGAAGAAAGAAGAGCCATTGAATCGGATCACGACTTTGATCAAAGCGAAATTTCTCGCTCTTCGTCATTGTCATCGGATTACGATGACAAAGTTGGCAAAGGCTCGAATCATCTTAATTCGTCGACTCCTTCCCCTTCCTTTCTTGCAGATCTTGATTGCCTAAGATCCGATAGTATCGGCGCGAAATCCTCTGCCATTAACGAAATAGATAGTCTAATTACGTCGCCAGACGCACAGTCATTATACGGTAACAAAGATAAGAAGAGCGGGCATATCAACGTTGGAGCCCACAAAAGAAAGAAAACAACTCCTCTCAAGGTTGAAAATAACGATAAAGGTATCCAGCACCATGCCGTCTTCACCAATGACAAAACTGATGTTTTGGATGACAGCAAAGCCAAATTGAAAACCTTCTCTGACGAACAAAATGATAACAATAACTCAAATCATCCTATCAATAACGGCAATTGCTTGTCGCAGGACGAACAGGAAGAAAATAGGACTACCGATTTGAACTATGATTTACCTGGATCGGTGAGGAATGGATTTCGAGTGATCGAAAGCAGCGAGAACTACCAGTGTAGAGAGGACGGAATGATGAATTATTATAGGGATCATAGTATAAAGGTATTAGACATTAAATTTCTTAATGCGATAATTTGTTTTAGGTATTAATTTGTTCTCATTAAAATGTATAAAATAACGAGAAGGAAAAGAGTTAGCCTTAGGGTATGTCCTGGTTCGACTTAAACACTTAAAACAAACCAAAATAGGGTGCCCTAGTTCAAAAGCTATTTCGTTTAGACTAAACACAAGAATAAGTTATCTTCGACTTGTTTCCAAACAGCCGGCTGTTTAGCCAGCTATATAGTTTCGACTAAACAGCCTAAAAAGTAAGAGACAAAACATTGCCACTAAACACTTAAAACAAACTAAAATAGGGTGTCCTAGTTCAAAAGTTGTGTAGCCTAGACTTTACAGCAATAAGTATCTAAAATAATTCAAACCAGGACACAGCCTTAGTACTTAATTACTTATTTATATTAAGAGATCGCTTTTTTTATTTGTACATCTTAGTTTTGTTAGGAAATATCTTGACAATTATAAAAATATTTGCACACGTACACCAATATTTTAATATTTTCTCACATTAAATTTTATTTTTGAAGAAACCCAAAAACAATCATGCCGTCGTCAACGATCGTTTCTTTTACAAATTTTTTCATGAAGACACCGATTCCAATAACGAAGGTAATTGGACGCGAATATCCAACATCGAAAGGCTAAAACACAAACTTGCATCGTCGGATGAAATTCTATCCAAATCTTGGGAATTTTAGCCATCTCATTTTTATTTTATTTACCGAGCTCCTATCGAAAAGATTCTACGTCAACAAGCTAAATCATTCGCAACAAAACACCCAATTATTTTAAAACCATTTTATGATGAAAGAATCTTTATTAAATTGTATATATTATTTATTTACAAACGATCTTCATTTTTAAAGAGGCCAATATTTTTTTAATTTTTCTTACATTTCTTATTTATACATAATAAATTACATTCATTATACTTTATTATATTATAACTACACAATACAATGCCTTTTTAAAATTTTATTCTAATCAAAATTAATAAAATCAATTATTCATATTTTATTAATTTTTAGTTTCACTAATAATTTATATATATTCTTAAATTTATTATTATAGATTTTTCGGCATGCATTTAGGAATTTTAAAAATATTTTTCGATTTAACAAGACCAAAATTAGAATTAATTTATGTATCACAATCCAAGAAAAATTTTTTAAAAAAAGATTTGCACACCAACTTATCAAAGATCCTTTAACAATATAACCTAATATAAATCTTTATTAGAACAAAAAAAAATATTTATGGAAAGGGCTCAATGCAAATTTTTTTTTACAAACCCTTTTTTTATGTATGGGAGACTAAGGGAAATGATTGAAAGCAAAATTGTGCTAAATGATGCTTTGATATTTCTGTTGTTTAATTAAAATTCAAGAGTTGTTTACAGGGTGATTGCCTTATTTTTCAAATTTAAGGTTTTCCATACTTGTTCCTCTACATTTGTTACAAGGTATTAAGGGACCAATAACATTACTTATAAACACTCCCCACAGACTTTTTGTTTTTTTTAACAGTTTTATATTTAAAATTAATTTTTTTTTACACTTTCTTTCAGAAAATATGATTAACATTACCACACCATACATATTTTTTTTATATTATATATTTTTTTAAATGTTATATTTCATAAACAAACAAAACACTCCACCCAACCCTAAATCTAATAAAACATCTAATCACAATTTTTTTATATATTATTTTTCTATTCCTTATAGCCTTCATCAGTATTTGATTTAATTTTTTTTTAAACTTGTAAATATGATATAGGAATAGTTTCTTTACAAATTTATCAATGATAGGTAATTTATAAATCTTTTTTAAATAGCCTGAATTAAATTTTTCTCACAAATTGCCAAATATATATCACATATTATTTAATTATATATATATTTATACTATTATTTTTATAACTTATACTGCTCATAATTTTTTTTATATATAATATTGTCACCCAAATGATGTCCTTTAGTTCTATAAAAAAAAATTTATATTCAATATTATCAACCCGATATTTTTTGTTTAACATACGTAAACATTCGTTCATCTACAAAATGAATGAATTATAATTGTGAAATTACATAATATTTACATTTAAATTTATATTATATAATTATAATTATATTATTTTTAGTCCGAAATTCTACATTCATTACATAAAAAAATCAATTGAAAATTATGTTACATTCTAATTTTTATATAAATGGTCATCACATATTATTTTTTTTATAATAAACTTTTACGAAAAAAAGTTAAATTAATATTTAATAAAATATTTATGAAGATTAAAAAAAAACGTTATTTTTATGATTTAAAAATAAATGAAATAAAATCAACATTAAAAAAAATAAATAGTCCTAATAAATTATAAAGTATATAAGTTGTAGACAGGTTTATAGCTTAGTAAAGGCTAATGCAAAATTAATTGCAGTGTTTTTGATTTACATGCGTTTCTATTCATATCGATATGCTCATAGCAGTTATTTAAAATTATGATAATTTTATTTAACTACAAATTCATGATAAATTCAAAATCATCCATTCTATTTTCTAATGATAAATAAAAATGATTATATTTTTAACTAGAGAAATACGATAGAATCTCGAATGATAATATCGAAAAAGAAAAACTATTAAGCGAACGAAATTCGTTGATCGAAAAATTGGAGAAGGACCTATTAGCTTTGGAGTCCATGACAATTGGCTATAGAGGAGATGGCGAAGTTTTTAATCATTTCGATTATTATTTCATTGTCTTCGATATTTTCCCACTTTAACTCAATCTTTTAAAAAAAAATAATATAAAATTAATCAATGGGAGTTTTTTTCTGAAATGAGTTTCGAATATTTAGCTAGCTATATGGGTTCTTATTTTAAATTTAAAATAAAATATAAAAATTTACGTGATAAATTTAACTTAAAAAAACATATTTCAGGGCCAACCAGCATCCCCATCATCTACCGAAGTTTTAAAATCTGCAACCTCTCAAATAGGATATCCTAGTATATTCATTATAAAATTTAATAATCAAATAAGCCATATTTTTTTATAATCAACTTACTTTTTCTTCAGTATAATATAGTATCACTTTAGAGTACTGTTTATATAAGGTTTCCGCTTTTCTTGCCTTTACTTTTGATCCTCTCTTACAATATAAACACATAGTTTTCGGTTATAACTTTTAACGCATTTAGCATGATAAATGTATGGTGCCCTGAGAATCGTTATAACTTATGTTACCTTTAAATAGTCAAGATAAATATATTTTTTAACTCATGACCATTTAAGAGTATTCGTCGATGGAATCTATCACGTCTAACAACGCTGATTCACTGTTGCCTATTGTCTCCAGTCAAAGGGAACGATTTAAAACAAGGAATAAAGAGCTAGAAGGGGTAGGTTATTATAACTACTTAATTATATATTTATAATGACAAAAATTATTTTATTTCATTTTGATTTTTTTATGCAAAATATTTAAATTTGTGATATAAACATTTAATGGGAATGTTATTCGTGATTACAAAAAGCTAATTTGTGTAATATATTTATGATTGTCAAATCCAGTGATTCGAGCGACCATTTTAAAAATTTATGAAACATGGTATAATGGTTAAATAGATAGTTTATTTTGTATAAATCAAAATTTTAATGCTCTAGCTAAAATATATCTCAAGTTAGGCCTTCAAAGTTCGATTAGTGCATTTTCCTCTTTTAAAGAATCTCAGATACATTTGGTCTAAGTAGCAGATTTTATAGCCTTAAAATTTTCCTTAAGAAAATGCAAAAATTATTTTAAAAATATCTGTGTCGCTGTATTTCCGGTAAAACATAATTTATTTTGAAAATACTTCATTTAAAACGATGAAACTTATGAAATGTGTTTATTACCAATATATCTATATATTTAAGTAAAAATATTAATGGAAAAAATAAGAATTTAAATTTTATTTAGTATCTATACTAGAAATTTTTTAAAATATACATTTTTTTATACCCCAATAAAAAAAATATATTATAATTATTTTTGATTATAGCGCCCTCTATAATTAGTTTATTCCTATAATCTAATTGAATTCTTATTTTTTCCATCCATTTATATTTTTACTTAGATATTAAATATATTGATATTAAACATATTTGACGAGTTCCATCGTTTTAAACTCCCTTCATAGTTGATTTTTTTAATTTAGATTATAAAAACTTTCTTCATTAATATTTTTACTCATATTTAAACATATTGGTAATAAACATTTTTGGAGAGTTGTATTGTTTCATATTAGGCTCTTCACAAAATAATCCTTTTTTGTTTTACTGAAAATACAAGACACTAAAGATATTTGTTTAAATAATTTTTGCATTTTCTTAAGGAGAATTTTGGGAGCTACAAAATGATATATAATTTGTTACTTTAGAAAATTATTTGAGTAATTTGAAATTCGTTAAAAGAAGAAAAGGTTCTCATCTAACTTTGAAAATCCATATGTGCTAGAGCATTAAAATTTTGATTTATATAAAAATACAATCTACTTAATTTTCATGCCATATATCCTTTATAAAAATGGTCGTCTGAATCAGGCTATTTCAGTCGATATGTCATGGAATTATTGGATAAATAATTGTTATAAACACTTTGTATAAAGTCATGAATCAACATTCTTCTCACTTAATGTACTTGCATTTATTATATTAGGAAAATGCTGACCTTAAAAAGAAGCTCCATGTTACGAAATTGGAACTTGACCAATACAAAAATGATAATCTAATGCTCTACGAAAAAATTCGATTTATGCAGAGTTATTCTAATACGACATCTAGTAGCTTAGCTTCCCAAAGAAATTTATTACTACAAGGAGCTGATCCATCGGCATACGTTAATTTAAGAGAAAGGTATGTTATGCATAATATTTTACAAATTAAATGAATTCGGCCAATAATAAATTTTATTTGAAACAAATGTTCCATAAATATGCGTCGTTTTTGATAAAAAATTCTCCTCTTTCCTGCTGCGTAAAATTTAGATTATGGGCTTATTTCTATTTTTATCAAATTGCAAAATAGTATTTGTATAAATAATAATGTGGTTAATTGGTTTTGTAAATATATTTACTATCGATTTGAATTTAACAAATAAATTATCATTACTTCAAATGATAATATACTAAAGCAATGGCCATTTTTTGTTGGGGTTAATCGATAAATTATTTGTCCGAAAATCCCGACCCAAAATGAAAATTATTTCCCATCCAGCCCGGCCCCAATTTATTTAATATTTAAAAAATTCAACATAATTTTACACTGAGCATGATCGAGTTTTTGATCCTTCTACAAACAAATAAGAAATATTGACGCTTTTTCAAAATTTAAGACCGACCCATCCCAATCCAAATATATTGCAGGCAGGGCTTATTATCTCTAATTTTTAGTACTATATATTTCATAGATATTTATTATCTTTCGACACGATTATATTAAATTGTAATATAGATGTATACATAATTAATTAATTAATCTTAATTTTACAAGGTTTAAGAAATTTAATTTCTAATAACTTTTTATTTTTTAATTGACAACTATATACAGGTCTATGTCTCCCAGATCTTCGAAGCGCAGTCAAGTTGAGACAACTTACGCAGATAGATACGAAAGTAGACTAGATCCATTTAGGGATTTCAATATGAAGGTTATATTTTTTCTCTTCCTTGTTAATCTTATTTATCCTATATTTTAAATTTTAAATTTATAGTATACAATATATTTATTTAATTGTAATACCCTTAAAATTATTATTGATTATTTGTAACCTAACTCATTTATTTTAACTTATTTAATATATTAATAATTTATTTAAGAAGCTAATAATAGTTAACAATATACATTTCATAATATAATTTTAAACATGAATTTATCATTATATAGGAAAAGCAAAGAAAGCTGAATAATCTTAACCCTCCCGAAAAGATGATATATTTTATGGCTACAAGGATGGTTTCCAATAGAACTGCAAGAATTTTCGCCTTTATTTATATGATAATTTTACACTGTTTAGTGTTTATGGTAAGTTAAATTTTAGCACTATATAACAATACAAAATATATCATCGTACTTAACATACATTTCATGGTGATACACTATAAAAATATTTTGTATATTGTATTGAAAATTTAAATATCATTTAATCTTATCTCAAAGAATTACGCCATTAAATCTTTCTATATAATTTTGAGGAATTTCGATTAAAATTTGGTGCATATAGACAGGATTGGTAAATTTTCAAAAATTTTTCGAATATAAATACAAATACGTTTTAAAAAAAGATGTATTTTAAATAAATTATCTACAAAACATTTTCAAAAAAGTATTTAAAATACAAATACTTTGTCTAAAACTTTCTGTACAATTAATAAATACTTTTTGCAAATCGATTTTTATAGTACCACTATCCATTGGCGTACGCAGCGAGTGGGGGGGGGGGGGGCTTGGGGCAAATCCACCCTCCCCCCTTGCCAAAAAATGCAGATGCTGGATATATTTTTTAAAAATATTATTGTTTATATTAATTTATATTTGTTAATATTAATTATATTACATTTATTATCACATTCATCTACTAAGTTATTTTATCAATTAATTTCGATTCCAAGTTTTCCGACGTAATATTTACTTATTATTTTCAAATTTTTAGTGGCGTAATATTTATCTACCATTTTCAAATTTCTAGTCAATAAATAATTATTTCTGAAACTTCTTGTCCAACAGGGAAAAAGAAATTGCAACCTTGTCCAACGAGATAGAGTCTCTGCCATCAAGCAGTAACAGCTTTTAAGGAGTTAGAAGAGCCAATTATTTGCTATTACTGAAATATCACAATGGCCTGAAAGAAATATTTCCTCAGAAGCAAGAAAATTATTGGATTCAATGCTTACTCCAAATTTTATTTCTCATTAGAATGTATTATTTAATTATACAACTATTTTAAGTATACTTTTCAAAAACATGACATTGACTTGATTAAGAAGATGAGAATAGTGGAGAGCATTTTATCAGAACTCAAGGAAATTAGGGCGAATGTTGATGAAGAATTTCATATTTTATTGTTGAGTCAAAAGCAGAGCTATACGTGTTTAATATTTGCTCGACTTGTAGCAAGGCAAGCTCATCGTTAAAACATTAATATAGGATCAGTAGAAGAGTATATCTTAAATACAGATACAATTATAACCCAAGTAAATGAATTTTTAATTCATCATGCAGCACTTACTAATCTGCAAATATTACTTCTACAAAAGCCTTCCCAACCTTTTTCAGATGGTGATAGAAAAAAAAATATTTGTTAGATTTTTATTATAAAGGATGTTAAAGTATCTTATGATGCTTTCTAGCTGAATAACTATGTTTATAAGATTAACTATGGTTGATATAGTCCCAAAAAATGCTATGGATGCTCTGCATTATTTCAAACACATTTTAGATTAAATTCCCAATGTATTAAAAGGGTTTATAAACTCTTCCCATTAGTAAACTAATGAGAGAACATTCTCTTTTTTAAGAAGAATAACAGAGGCCTGCAGAAGTACCATTTGCAGGGCACGGCCCGGATTTTTTTTAAAGATTTTTTACGGCCCGGCTTGGGGTTTTTTTTAAAAATTTTCAGGCCCGGCCCGGCTTAAAATTTTTAGGCCAGACTCGGCTTTTTAAAAAAATTTCAGGCCCGGCTTGGCTTTTTTTAAATAAAATTTTCAGGCCTGGCCCGGATTTTTTTAAAATAAATTATATTTATTCTTGATTTTTATAGCTAAATAATAACGATTTCAAATATAGGCTGTTTTAAAAAATACAGCCCGGATTGGGTGTTTTTTTTAAATAATTCAGGCCCGGCTTAGGTGTTTTTTTGAAAAAAATTCGGGCCCGGCCCGGGTATATTTAAAAAAATAAAAATACTCTCCGGCCCGGGGACCGGGCCTGCAGGTCTCTGAAAAACATACCAAGAAGTACAACATCTGAAAGTAGATTGAAAGGTTTGGATCTTTTGAAAATTCATAGGCATTTGACGACAAGCAAGGATGAGATAATTGAAAAATTAGCTCTATCACAACGAAGATTGTATTTTACATTGTAAATATATAACATACAAAATGCAATTATTCCTAAGAAACTTTTTGTGTTAAGGCTCAAAAAATTCAAATTTCTATTTTGGGGACCAAATTCCTGCGTACGCGCCTGCCACTATCAATTTTTTTACTTTAGTAATATTTTTATTATTAACATTTTCTAAAATTCTAATAATTATTTGAATATCATCATATCGAATTTCAATTATATTTATCTCCAGCAATATAAATATTATAAATATATTATTGTTGTAGCAGTAGCTAATCACAGAAATTATGTTAAAATTGCAAATATATAGTTAATATCACAATTTTACAGAGCATACAATAAATAGCTAGAGAGTGAAATCCCTTCATTTGTGATTTTGATTTGATTTTTAGTTAAGCAGATCTTACATTTAGCTTGCCTTATATTATTGATTTTGATGATATTTTGAAAATTTCCATCCTTAATGTCATTACATTTAGAGGATCTTGATGTTGTAGCGGAATCCCTGCAAAAATATCTTATAAACATAATAGCTATGTTCCTTTTCTTCATTTACTATATCCTCCTCGTCTTCAAGAAAACGTTTGTTTTCGTTTCAGTAATACTCATTTTAAAAATAAAATAGGATTTAAAATGAAAGATGTTAATTTTTTCGTTAACGCTGTTCACAATTTTAATATTTAAATAATGTGGAGTTATACTTTATAATTCAATTTTTAAAAATATTTGTATATGTATTCGTCTGAAAATCGTGAAATCATAATAAATACAAGAATACTTTTTTAGTATTTAAAATACTAAATACTTTCTAATATATTCAAATAAATACAAAAAGGTATTTAGTATTTTAAATACAAATATTCGCGTTAATGCCCAACCCTGCATTCAGTGGCGTCAGCCCTACAAGAAACGTTTTGTTCAAATATAAAATATTTTATGACCGCAGGGACTTTGAGGTTGCATAATAAATATTTAACATCTAAATTTTATACATGCCCACTTGAGGGTAAAAATATTTAAAATTTTAAATTATAATCAAATTGGTATTTTACACACTTGTTTTATATTTATACTGAATAAACTAACTTACACAATTATTACTTTGCAAATTATCTTTCATCATTTTGCATTAGGTTTTATATCAACTGGCCAAAATTGAAAATTGTCATAGAGAAGCATCGGTGGATTGGGCTGCCAAGTTTTAAATATTTATTTTTAAACAATATATACGATTATTTATTAATGTTTTATTTTAAATATTATTTTATTGTTGCAGATACTCTGATCACATGAAGGAAGCTCACAAAGATTCCCATCACAAATGATTATTTAAATACAATATGGGATACCTATTATTATATAGCATATATATTTGATTTCGTATTCATATATTTTTTTGATGATTTAAATTACATTTATTGATCCTATTTTCTTCGATTTAACAGTTAAAATTTATCTAAATCACTTTTTATTTTTGATTTCAGGAAAAATTAAATTTTGGTGTTTTATATTTGATTAAAAATTTTAATTTCACAAATTTATGGCTTATGATTATTAATTGATATTTCGTTTTCATTAATTTGCTTACAAATATGACTAATATTTTTATAGCATTCATAAGTATAATGATACAAATATACATAATCGAATCGGTATTTGGTTAGTAGAAATATAAACTAGGTCACACATAGACCTGTACTTGAGGGGAGAGCGCACAGGGGCTCGTGCCCTTTAAAAAATTTGAAAAGCTCCACGTGAAAATTGGTTATTTTGAAATTGTTAGCTAAAAAGGTCATTTTGAAAATTTAATAAAAAATGTTATTTAAAAAAAAAATAATTGAGCCCTTTGAGATTGAATTTCCATCGGTGGCGTTTTTATATACAGAATCAAATATTTGACAGCTCTTTTAGATTTTTAAACTGTAGATACATTTTTAAATATATTTTATTTAGTGTTAGAGTAACTGACTGCCAGGGATCCGAACCTGAACAGAACCATTAAACCGCTAAAAAAATTCTAGCCGAACCTGAACCGAACCTCTAAAATGCCTCTGAACCGGTTCGAGTTTCATAATTTTATGCTTATAAAATAATGTGTAAGTTATTACTAGTTTATTGCAAAAATTTTAATTATAAATTGTTTTAAAAATTCTTATCAATCACATTTGATTAATAAGTTTCAGTCGTAATTTTTAGTTATATTGCCATTTTCCAACATTTTTTAAATATTTTAAGCTCATAAATTATAATGCCTAGAGAAAAATTAAATCCAATATATAAATTATTTACATATAGTATTATAAATGATACATCAAATTTGATATCATACTGGCAGTGCAGGCTACCCAAGTTAGTGTGGAAAGATGTTTTTCAACAATTAAATTTATATATCTCCTTATAGATGTAATTAGAGTGAGACGAATTTTGAAAATATATTAATTGTGCGGCTTAATAAAAAAATTTAAGTAATTGTTCATATTAAAATATATCATTGATATTTATTTGTAATATTTATAAATTAAATATTATTTTATAATGTGCAATTAATAAAAATGAAGGTTTTATGTATGTGTTTTTATTTTAATTATGAAATAAAATAAAAAATTTCCTTATACATAATTCGAATAAAGGTTTGAATACAAAAGTGTTTAAACCGGTTTTTAGAGGTTCAAACTGAACCTATATTTTTATTTTTTGCGAACTGAACCTGAACCTTAAACCGTTATTTTTATCCGAACCTGAACCGAACCGATATTCATTTCGGTTTGGATCCCTGCTGACTGCGCACAAGTCCGAATATATATTTTCTTAGATTTGATTTTAAAATTTTCTATCGGAACTAGGGAAACATTAATTTTTCCTCAAATGCTTTCATAAATATTCTTTTCAAGAAAAACACGAAATATTTCCCCAAATACTTATAATTTTTTTGCTTTCTTAAATAATCGTACCTTTTTCCCCCTCACTCCATGTTTATTTTAATTTTTTGGAGGGAATCGAAACCGTTATTTCTAAAATTTGAGATTGGATCTGATTTCATTTATCGAATTGTGTTGGATAAGAAAATAAATTAGAGAAGTCGCTTCTGTTTATTTAAAGGTAAGACCAAATTTTAAATGAAAACTAATATCGAATAGCTTATTTGGAAAAGTGAAATTAAGGCTTATTGGATATTGATTCCGATTCATACCTTGCGGAACATTTTAATATATCAGGTCCGGGTGACGATGAAATTGCAGCTCCAACATATGAAGTTAATATTAAATCCTTAAAATAGAAATGGCCTTCCCGTTGAATAATTAATTATGCTAGAACGTGTTCAATGCAAAAAGCTTTATAAATAATGTGTTAAATAAAATGGAAAACAATATTTAAAACTAATAACGAGTAGGATAAACTAGTTGACAAACTTGCATTATTACATACATTCAATGAGTGTAAAATTTATTTCAATCCAAAAGCGATGTACAATTAATTTAGGTTTGTTATTACTGGTTTATAAAATAAATGAGTCTGATGCTGCCAAACAAAGTTGACTAGAGATTTCTAATTACCAAATACATAGTATACTTTATTTTACATAAGATTTTATGATAAAAATTAAAGTTGTCGAAATTACTAAATAAGTAAAGCCATTATTTTACTATTTTTAAAAGTACAAAAACCGTTACTATGTAAATAATTAAGTAAATTGTTTTGCTTTTATTTTATTAATCGATACATTGAATAAATCCCAAAATTCAAATAAATAAATAAGCAAAATATATTTTACTATAAATATACTGATATTTTTTTTATCTAACCATATGGTTGTTTTTCAAAGCTTTATGGTTCCTCTCTCAGCACCGCTTTCACCCCGTTTAAGTCGAGAATGGCGGAGGTGTAGTATATTTATAAACAGGATTTCATGTTTGAAAATTGTTAATGTTTTCTTTTCTAAAGGAGTATATCTTTACTCTAATAGGATTTTTTGCTTAAATAACTATAAAATTTTCTGGATAAGCTAAATACTCAGACTAAGTTTAATATATATATATTCTAGACATTTAATGTCTCATAAAATTTAAAGAAGTATCTTTGCCTCAAAGCAAAAAGCACTTAAAAAAAATTAGTGAGAATAGATTAAATTCATTTTAATTGGTATTTATGCGGAGTTTCATTAAATGCCTAGAAATACATCTCTTGATCAAGTTTGAAACAATTAGCTTCAAATATGAAAAGTTAAAGACGTTTGTCCTCTGGCCCCACCTGCCGGAGAGCCCCAGTCTCCTCAAATTGGAATTCTGTAATTTCTCCATCCTATTAATTATTACAAAATTGTGTTAAATACGGCTGCCAATCATTTTGTAAAAGCTATGAATGGAAATATTTGTGTATCCTTAAATATTTATAATCTTCGTAAATCATAATAAATATGATGTTAAAATCACTGATTAGTTTAAACCTATTGATTATTGTCTCGTCAAATTCAATGGTTATTATTTCCATGCCAACCATGAATATTTTGAGCAATGATATACAACGCCAGTAAAAAAAAGCAATTTGCTAAACAACGTCAAAATTTTATTTTTATTATATAATAGCCTTAACTAAATCACTGTTCCATATGCAATCTCAGCGTGCGTGGATGTTGATTTATAAAGAAAAATTGCCACGAGGACAATTACGGTATTTGGTGCCTGAGCCACACACATTACTCCAAGATTTTTTTTGGATATAATGATAATTTATGACGTTATCTAATATTGTTTAAATGAACATAAAAGGCCAATGGCATTCAATTTTGTCGGACTTTTTTATTGTAACTAAGTATCAATAATATGGCTGGAAATAAATATATTTCTGCCAATAAATTTCATATGAGACAAAAATTATAAATTGGGATATCAGAAAGGAAATTTTAAGTATTTTATGATACAAACGTTTTTGGCTATTATCTATCATATTTTTTTCTTTTTTTTTCTCTTTAGCTTTCACCTTTTCTGGTGGTAAGCTCCTTCAACATCTCTCTCCACTTTATGTTATTCATGCAATCTCTTTTATCTAATTTATACTTCTTTATATTGGCTCTAACTTTATGGCCCCATTGAAGTTTTGGCATTCCTCTTTTACGTTTGCCCATCACTTCCAAACTCTCAACCTTATTTCCTATGTAGTTCATAGGCCTTCTCATTGTGTACCCATACCACCTAAGTCTGTTTACCATTATCTTAGTCTTAATGGGCACTACCTTTAAACTACTAAGTATTATTGTAATACGCACTTTATCCCTTGTTGTTATCCCAGCAATCATCCTCAGCATTCTCATCTCCATAGTTTGCAGACTTCTCTCGTCTGATTCTTTGGTTGACCATGTTTCCGAACTATATAGAATAGTTGGTTGTACTATGGAACTGTAAATTTTTTCCTTTAATTTGTGTGGGATTCTTTTGTCAAATAGCACTCCAGATAAAGATCTCCACTTTAACCACCCTTGATTAATCTTACTCTTTATCTCTTTTTCTATTGTGCCGTTTGTTTGTATAGTGGAGCCCAAATATTTGCAGCTTTCAATTGCCGATATCTGCCATTCATTTATATCAATACTCTCTGTTTCATTTCCTCCTATCACCATATACTTCGTTTTTTCTCTATTTACTTTTAGTCAGTGCTTTTCTAGGATATTTATCCAACTCACTAATTTTTCTTTCATTTCATCCTTGGATTCGGCAAGTATTACAATGTCATCTGCAAATATTATATTCCACGACATAACGTATAATCATTTTATTAAAAATAAATCACGATGCTTTGCCAGGTTTTTCGATATATTCATAATATTCATTATATAATTTAAAAGATAAAATATAAAAATATATTTCTGTTGCTCTCATTTAATATTCAATAAGTTTAAATTTGATAATTTTAAGAACGAACGTGCGTTTATCATGTGCTTTACATTTTAAAACTAATATATTGTAAATTTAAAAAATAAAAAAAAACTTAAAATTTTCTAAAATTTAGTTAATTTTCTAATATTGTATATAACAAACTTCATATCTTCTTATTGAAAATGGTTGCTAATCGTTATTATTACAAACTATTTTCCCCCGATAACCAACAAAAACGTAAGAATATACTCAAATAGTTATTTTATTTTTATATTCGCATTCTATTTAATTTGATAATTTTATTTTTTCAATCATATTTGCTCTTTTTAAATATGGCCAAATTTATTAAAAACTTATATTTCCAGGTTCTTCTTAATTGCTAGGTTTTTATAAAACTTTACATGATTAAATATTAATTCGCATTCTTATTCATCTTTTGAGTGGCCATTTATTTTACAAATCGCCGATTAAATATTAATATA